GGACCTTCCAAGAGGTGTCTATAAATAGACTCTTATATGGTTAAGAGATCTTAAGAGGTGTCCAAAAACCACCGGGCTCGGAAGGTCCTGGTACAGGTCAATGGCTTTAGGTCCTGGACTTTGGACCTGTCATGACTCCCTTCCCTTACCGACCTCTTCGACCTCCGCGTGCGTTTTCCCTTCCCTCCCCGAGGAACATGCACGACCTGGGCGACGTGGATGCCCACTTCCCCGGCATGACCGCCGCTCTCACGGACTGGCTGCGCATGCGCCGCGGACGCCAGAGACGGCGGAGGGAGAGCGGAGGGAGATCGGAGGCTTGAAGCGTTTGTAAGGACTTGCTTGTGACTGATGTGCTTTGCTTCTTGCAACTTTAAGATACTTCGGCGTTTTTAAAATAACCAAGTGCGGAAGCCCTATTAGGCCCTAAACATCCTAAAAGAAGATCAGATTTTTTTCCAGGTCGGCTCCATGGTTCTCTTTCGAGGTTCCAGGCTGTGCTGAGTGGTCCTTTGGTTTCTTTGGTTTCGCGTGTAACATTTATTTCCAACTGGATGAGGTACAAGACCGCGGAGGGTAAGAAGGAGAACAAGTTTGGCTTTGGTGGCAAGCCGCAGGGAGCAGCATTTGCTCGGAAGATTGTGGATGCTAGGATCAGAAGGAGTCGCTCGAGCTGTTTGACAGGATGGTATAGTGAGGCTTGGTGGGTATGACCAGCTGTAATTTCCCACATGGAGTTGTAGATTGGCAGATGTTCAGGGAGACTTCAAGCCTGATTCTGTGTTTGTGTGGTTTGCAACCCCATCAGCATTGTAACTTGATGTTGAAGGTCAAGCCACTCCCTTTCTCACTGTACGCAGTGAATGCCAGACACTCCCCTGAAGCCACCCCAATCTCGATGGATCAAATGCCAGACACTTCCAGTGGACCGTGGACTGCGCCGCCCGTGGCACACCTCAGGATGAAACCCATGAGAGCTGGCGGAAGCTCATGGCCGCCGCGGATGAGAAAGGGAAAGTGAAGAAGGCCCCCGCGGATCGCTGCGCTCAGGTCCTTTGCCGGTCCTGGGTTGGGCCACACTTGGCGGCCCAGATCAGGACGTTTGAGGCCAACAAAACACTTTGGGAGAGCGGAAAAAAGCCACCTAATTAGGCATTTGGGCATGGCAAATTCCCGAAAAGACGAGGATGGTTCAGAACGCCGCATTCATAGCTGGGGGTTGGAAGGGGATGGAATTATTCTCACTGCTTTGAGAACAGTCATGTGATAGATTTAAATAAGTTCATCTGGGATGATCCTGCAATATTTGCTACAAGTGATTGAAGACCAGAGAGTTGTGCCATTCTACTCACTACAGGTGTGATCCCGTCATATCCTTCCCTTGATCACTGGGAGCCATTCACATGGCTCCCAAAGACGTCGATGCACCCCTAAAGACGTCGACGCGTGCAGGTGGCCAGTGGGAATAATCTCTTCACCGACCTGGCTTTGGGCGCGGGCGTTTTTTGGGACGAGCGCGTGGGCTTCGGGCTTCGGGCTTTCGCCCTGCGGAGTCGTCGTGTGGAATGGTCTGACAGCGCTTCTTTCCTCGTGTCATGTTCGTGCAGAGAAGGGAACCCACTACAATCCATGTGCTGTAGTACACGCCATTCTAGCTTTTGCTCAGGAGGGAGCGATTCGGAGCCAGGGGCATCCATATTCCCCATTCAACAGGGAGCCGAGGAGCTACAAGGAGTTCCCAGGTGGACTGACGTAGAACCCAGTATGGAGCCCGGAGGGACTACTATCCTCGAGAAGGGCAAGTGTTGTTTCATGGAAATCTTGGAAACACCACGATGTACATTCGGCCTCTCATGCATTGGCCTTTGTTTTCTAAACGTTTCTCTCACAGACGCCTAGAATAGATTGATTGCACGGGCATGGTCCCAGGAGCCTGAAGTGAAACGTATACTCGGCATCAGCTGTATCACGACATATCTCAAGCTTCGCATGATATTAGGTTGACCAATGCCAACAATCCAGGTAATTATGGAATACTTGCCTAGATTGACCCTTCAAACATGGTCAACCCACCCTGATTGTATAGATTCTATAGCTACAATAGGCAATAATGCAATATAATATATATATATATAAATGGATTGTGTGCTTATGCTGGAGGTGGGTATTGTGAGTACTGAAATGCATCCAGTCTGGAAGAACCTCAGCCAGTCGACGTTGTTTTCCGTGGTTTTCCTTTGGTTGAGGCATGGGTCACCCGGAAGGGTCTCCGACCGGCACTGTCGAAGTTGTTTGGGAGTGTTGCATGTTCGCCCAGAAAACCAGGTGTCAGGATAGGTCATGAAATGCGCCCTGTTTTCTTCCAAATCGCCCCTTAAGGTGGGGATCATAGACTGACCATGTGTCTATATTGTTTGTTTTATATCTCCCTCTCACTCACTTTTTCTTTTTCTTCGTTCTATCGCCAATATCGTTGTGGGCCAAACCCTAAGCAGATGAAAAACCTGTTGTAGTTTGTAGGTATTTGCCAGAGGTAGTTGACCATTCCGGTCAAACGTGCTAAAGATTGATTGACTTATACTCAGTTTGACCCAACATGGATTGAATCACCTACGCTACTACAGTCTACTACACTGCTGCTGCTGGTGCTACTACTCCTCCTCCTGCTGTTGCTTTTACATCTACTGTACCCCCATACTACTCCCCTTACTATTTTATTGATGAGCCGACCGGATTGGCCGCTTTCTCAGGCGACGACGACGACTGAGGCTCGGCCCAACCACCCCAGGTCGAAACATGACGAAACCACACAGACACGCAAAACAGAATCTAAAGCTAAGGATCCAAGTACCCTTTGAGAAGGTGTTTGGGGTGGGTTTGGAAGGTCCAAGTACCTTTTGAGGTGGTACTTGGATCCCTACATTAAAAGAATCCCAGCCTTGGAGAAAAAAGACGATGTCGGCATGTTTGCTCAGTTCGCTCCAGAAGTCTCATCTCCAGTTTCTTCAATGTGTTTGATTTTAACGGGCCCAAGTGACCTTTCACTGGAAGATCACAAGGTCATTTGGAAGAACCAGGCTTGCACCAATTCTCACATCGATCCCGTTATCACGCGTTCAACATCGTTCAACCAAGTTTCATACATGGACCGTTTGGGCGGATGATTTTCCAGCCCTTCCTTGGGCGAGGTTGACCAATGTTCAGCTCACAGTGCGAGTGCCCACCGCTGGCGAAACGGATCGTTGACATGGACCATCTTGAAGGACGTTTTTGTTTGATGGGGATGTTCCATGGACGTTGGGTGCACTTGGAGAGTAACGAAGAAAGGGGCCGTTCTGCGCCAGAAAACATGTGGAACAATCCTAACACCTTTTGGAACTCCAGGTGTTCATTTTTGCACTTGTTTACTTTGTTCTTGCTCAGCTTATTTTTAGCCTGCATGCCCCTTGGCGTGGAAGAAGGCGTGTGGCCATGTTTGTTTGACCCTTTGATCTATCCGTTCACGATCATGCTGTATGCCCTGTGATTCAATCTACTCTGCCCCATTCCGGCCCTATTTTTGTTAATAGACTGTGTTTTGATCCTCCACTGCACATGGTAATGAGTAATGGGGTAAATGCAATCTTCAGAGCACCCAACTTTGATCTTTAGAGAAACTCGCCAGCGGAGGGGCCGCTTCCGCACGGATCAATTCTCGATCATTTCTCGATGAAGAGCCCTCATTGGGCGTTGAAAAAGAGGTTTCCCGTGGGGCAGCTCTCCTGAGTTGGATGCGAAGTTCAAGGACAAGTTCACAAAAGCATGTTTTGCTTCAAAGAGCTGAGGGAGCTGGAGCCCCTCGGAAAACCCAATCTGGGTGGCCTCCGGAATTGCCACAAGGTGGAAGCGAGGAAAGAATGTGAACGGGCCGTATGATGGGACTAAAAGGGTGCAAAACCATGTGCCAGAAGTGTCGTTGATTCATTGATCCGTTTAGTGCGAGGTACGTTATATCTATCCAGGTTCAAAGCTCCATTTTTTGTCCCGGATACGAATCCAATCTTTGCATCTCGAGTACTAGAAGCTGATGTTCGTATACCCGTTGAGCGAGCTCGCTTGGCCACGGAAGCAAAAACCGATTCTTCGAACTCCGCTTTTCGCTTTCGCCGCTCGAGCGAGCCACATCGAGTGAGTTCACGGTGCAAGGTCCAGGGCGCGTTTCGCGGTGGCCAAGGAGCGAGAAGAGCCACGGGGGTGCGAGAAGAGCAGCCGCAAGCGGAACGGTGAGTGGAACGGTGAATTGAGGGTGAATATGGGTGAATGCTCATTGCTTGCAAGATCGTACGATGAAGTGATGGTTTGAGTGCTGTACTACATCTTCCAACCACTTTGCTCAGTGCCCCCACGCTTCCCGGTGCCACCCGTCCTTGGAGCTTGAGAGTCGCTGAGAGTCCCGTCGGCGATCAGCGGCGGCGCCGGCCGCGAAAACGAAGTCCGTCCGGGGCCGGCCGTGCCGTGCGCGACTCCGACGAGCGTTGACTGGTCGGTTCTCCTTCTGGCGTTTGGCGAGGTGGATCTGGCACACGAAAAGAGACCATTTTAAATTGGGATGGGTCCAGATGTTCATTGAAACGGATTAAGATATTGGCCGGGTTCAGTTCATGACACTCGCGTCAGGGGTGAACATCATTTGTCAGAAGGTGCCGGAAGGAGACAAAGAAACCCCCCCCCCTCGCGTCCTTCGTGTCCTGCTTGCCCACCACAGTTGCATGAGGTGCCTGACGCGCCTGTTTGATGTCATGCTTTTCGAAGCCACAGGACCGGTTTCACTCTCACACCTGTTCTGATTCAAGAAAACATCAACCAAAATACCCAGGATACGGATGGCCATGGCCAAGTTGGATCTTCCTCGAACCACATGTGCCCTTTGCCAAAGTCGGCCCCATATGCTATCCGCGCGCGTCGGCTCGATACCGGCGTCGCGCGCCACCTTCACGCGCCACGCGCCACGTGGCTCCCAGGTCGGCTGTTGCGGCTCTTTTTCGGTGCCAGCGGAATGATCCCCAGACCAGGCGAAAACGCAGAAGTCACTGGGAGGTGCTGCCGTTGAGTACAGAGGACGATATTATTATACTATACAGTAATTATCATCAGGGAAGTCCCTCTCTAAGTGAGACTTTTCCCCTTTGAAACTGGCCCTTTGGCATGGCATGGTTCAAAGTAAGTGTTGGCGCTCTGCATAGTCTTTTTTCCCAAAATCATCATATTCGCTTCATCATGTTGTTTCACTGATCTTGTGCCAGTAAATCAGCTTGTGGCATTCAGCCACTTTTGAACAGCATGGTGAGATGCTGGACCATGCTCTTTAGCCCACCTCACACAGTTGTGAGATGCAAAATAACACCAAGCATCATTTAAACTACGATGCAGCAAAAAGACACACACACACACAGCTAAAGGTAATTCAAACAAGTTAATGTAGGTCAACTACTTGCTGCCGGGGAGCTTCTTTCGCTCAAAGTTGCCAAACTGCTGTGCTTCAACCCCTGATAGGCCATTCTTCTTTGCTTCATGCCATGCAGCACTGTATACCTTAGTGTTGTCACATACTTGTCAGGTCCCCACAGCCTTTTGGGATATCATTATCATTGAGCAAACATGATATGGACAGCGTAACATTCATATGCAATTCTTGGTGCCGAATGCAACTTCTTCTCGACTTCATCCATTTGGCGGGCACGCTTCTTTGGGGAAGGGCGACCTTTGGCTTTGGCTTTCCCTTTTGGGCTTGCCTTTGCATGGGGCTTTGGTTGTCCACGTCCTTTCATTCTTGGAGCTGTTTTTGCCTTTGCTTTGGGGGATGCCTTTGCTTTGGGGGATGCCTTTGCTTTGGCGGATGCCTTTGCTTTGGGGGATGTCTTTGGTTTGCAGGGTGCCTTTGCCAGTGCTTTGTCTTTCTTCTCCTTTGCCACTTGTGAGGCGTTGGGCATTGGGGTGGCGACCTGCAAGACACCAGGGGTTGAAGGGCCCGGATGAGGAGGCACAGGGTCCGTGAGCACATTTTCTGGTAGGGCTGGACACAAGAGGTCAGGGTCTACCTGGGGTGCATCTCCTGGGTGTCCATTTGACTTTGCCTCTTGGGCTTCACCAGAGCCATACCCATCATCAAGCACTTCTGCACCATCCTCCTTGTTGTTTCCACCCTGCTTGTGGGGTTCTGCAGGAATGGGGCGTACATCATCAGGGGGTTCACGTTCATTTGATGCAGGCCCAGCAGGCACACTTGAAGCAATCCCACTGTGTGGAGCGACACCTTGTTCCTGGTTTACAGGAATGGCTGCCAGAACTCAAGAATCAACATTGAACATGCCAGAAGCCTGACTGAGCAAAAAAACATGTAGTCTATTGCAATGTTTTGCATGGCTCCTCGAGGCTGTTCAATATGCTGGGAGAAAAGCATAGGCTGCGTCGTAGTCGTTTCCTTTGCTCCTCCAATCAGTGTTTCTTGTTTCTGTCTACTCTTAGTAATTCCTCCAATATGTTTTCTGTCTTTGTACCTTTTTATATTTGGTCAGTGTTTGACAAGGCTGACCCAGTCCTGTACTTCTTCAGTCACTAGCAATGGCGAAGAAACTTTGGTCTCAGAGCTGAAAAGGCCTAGCTGATTGTCTGGGGTTTCTGTGAACTTTGTAGGCGGCGGCGTCCAAAGTGGATGTTCCTGAGCCTGATCTCCCTCAATGACATTCAGCTTGTATAAGTCAAAAAGCATCCTTGGATCGTCCAAACAGTGTTGATGTGCCCTTATCAAACATGTGTGTGTGTGTGTGTGTCACATTGCAATACAGGTTCTCTTCATCAGCAGGAGCAAGATCCGGTGTATAATCCAGCTGTGTGTCCCCAGATCCATCCAATCCACTCAGCCCCTGGTCCTGCAAAAGGTTCGTGAATGTTCACAGGATTTAGACAAGGGCTGCATAAAAAGGCACAATGTGGGCCTGTACATAGACTGAACCAAACCCTGTCCTCATGTTTCTTTGCGTCATTCCCAGCGGGCCGTTTGATTGGCCTACCCCTAGTCGTCTTGCCACCAGCTGGTCGTTTTTTCAGCTTGTCCCCACCGAGTTGAAGTAAAGAATTCATGCCATCCAACACATCATCATCGTTTTCTTCATCGTCATCCTTGCGACCTTTTCCCAAGGCAAGAAAATCATGCTGCGTCTCTTCATCTTCTTCTTCTTCTTGATCCGCAGGTTTCCCCTTCTTTGTTTTCTTCTTATCTTCTCCCTCCTTCTTCTTTTTGCTTTTCTTTGCCTCTTGCTGGGAAGAGGAATCTTCTGGAGATTGAGATTCTGAGTATCTTGGTGGTAGCACATGATCAAGTGGGGAGGGTCCACTCGAAGAGGAAGCCTTGGCACCTCAAGTGAAAATTAAAGCTGCTGCGTATGTGTTGCAAAAAACAACTCCTGACATATGCTTTGGAAAAAATACACACACCATCAGGTTTGGCTTCCCAATACCTCAACCAAGCTGCTAGCACCCCCACTAGGCCCTGGAGCACCCTTCGGAGTTGGTTTCAATGGTGGCCGTGCTGAAGGTGGTGCACTCCGAGTAGATGAAGCATCACGCATCACTTCAGCTAGGCTGAAAGCCTCAGGTGTCAAAGGTTGATTGCATAAAGCTGGTTTGTGACAGCAGCAAAACACATTTTCTGGTAAAATAATGTAAGATACCGGTTGTTTTTCTTGTGCACTGGAATGCAGGAATCATTGTTTCTCATTCATCTCAAGCAACTGGAATGCCAAAAGCAGGTGGCACATTCATAATTTCACAGCTTTCCTCTGAAGGACTTCGATCGCGCTTAGCCCGAGCCATCCTCGAATCCCCTTAAGCTAAGCACCCTGCTGATCGGTTTGACCTTCTGAGCAATTTGCCATATGCAAAACACTGCAATAACATGCTGTAATGACGAGTGAAACAAACTCAAGGAAAGACCGGATGACATGCAAGCAAGACATACCATTCCTTTTCACAAACTGAGCAAAAGAGCAAATGACGTGTGCAGCACGTTTTGTGCCCAGTTCTTCAGAACTGGAACCCCCCCCCAATCTCCAGATGTCTCCAGGGGTGCTAAGGTTGCAGTCCATCCTTGAAAGTTCTAACTTTGTAAGATCAACAATTTGTTTACATGAGAGACTTTATATTCTTGGAGTCCTGTCCTGCTTGTAGTTTTGTTGTGTTGTAGTCTCTTTTTGTATACATCCACCCCAAGGAGGACAAAGCGGAGATAAGATGATCTGTCCAAAACCTAAAGCAGCTAACTCGCAGTGATGCATGGGCTTACATCAAGCGGATGATTGTTTGGTGAAGATCCAGCATGCCATTCAGACAGGCAATTGGCCTCACTGGTGTAATGACTTTTGTACTTCCGTCCGAAGATGTGTCCAGCCTTCAGTCGAGAGGGTTCAACACTGTCAAGAAAGGTAGGTTCTTTCAACTTGCAAAAATCAAGCATATCTGCAAAAAAGGTAGGTGTTTGCAAGCATATCTGCAAAAAGAGAAGCAACCTCAGAATTCAAACAGCCCAATGTAAACATTCAATTGAGCCAGATTCCTGCATCGGAAACCAATCGTGAACTTGTCATTCTGCTTGAACTTGTTGATGTTCAATATGTTGCCAAATGAAGCCATGGTGACACCAGCACCATCCTTGTTCTTCTTTGCCTTCTTGCCTTTCTTCCTCTTTTTCCTGGGTTGATCATTTGTTGGCTCGCCCGCCGTTCTTATTTTGGTAGCTAAAAATGCAAGAGCCTGCAAGAGGATTTCCAAATTGGTGTGCTGCCCATGTTCCTGTTAGTTCTTCATAGGTTTATATGTCCTAAATTATCCAAGAAGATCTTTGATAAACTGCTCCAAGTGACTCATCTTCATTGGGGCTGTCCAGGAGAAAAAGCAAGGGTTTGTTGGTAGACGGAACGAGTTGTGTACGGTCAGAGCTCAGGTCATGGTGGGACACGGAAAGCTGTACCTAGGGGCAACTTCCCTACTCAAGCTACATTGGACCATGTCCGACCACGTCCAACCATATATAATATATCTATATTAAATTATATATATAATTGCTGCTTTTCATACTGGTTTGAGTTGCCTTGCCTCCCCTGCATCTTCAAGCTGGCGGATGACATCAGCAATGGAGGTTGGGCCATTGAGGCACCCCAAGCCTTGTAAATGTGTCCCAAGGTCCTTCTTCTCCAGCAAGATTGTAGATTCGAGCTCCATCTTAAAGAGAAACCATCGGCCAGCCGGGTCTGACAAGACCTCCTGTGCCTCCTTAGCTTGGAAGGAAGGAATCAGAAACTCAGTGCACCCGACCACCATATTGTACTGTGCTCCAAGGCTGAACAAGAGTCTGATCCATTTCGCCACTCTCCACTGCCAAACGAAAACCTGAAATTTGCTTTGAATGTAGTCAAACCACAGCAACAAACTTTGGGTTGCAATCAAAGAGCATCTCCCTGAAGGCTGTGAAAGTGTTGTGAGCCCGCGATGCAAGGAACAAGCAATCACCACCTTCATCAGTGATGAGGTCTGCTGCACCATTGATACTCAACTTGGTCCTTAGTTTTTTGAAGACAAGGAACAAGTTATAACATGTTGCGATGTGGTTTTGTGCTTTTTTGAAAGTTTTCATCACCATTTCATCACCAATCTAATCTAGGCACGGCTTGGCCAAAGACGAAATCTGGTCCTCTCCACAGGTTTCCTCCGATGAAATTTTGATCTTCTTCGCAGGGCGAGTTTCTGTATCATCTGCCGGCCTGTGTCAATAGAAGACATAGAACAATAGAACACAACAATTCATGATTTGTTCATTCAAAAGTTTATTGTGCCAAACAAGTCCGTCCTTTCATCATCTTCAAGTAGATCAGAAGCTTCCCCAGGACAAAAAGCAGCATTGTGCTTGGCAATGACGTCAGAAGCCATTTCTTGAGTCGACTCATATTCTAGCCACTTTCTCGCAAGGCTTTGTAGAATCAATAACTTCTGATTCCTGACAATTGTAACCTTCAGCTGT